TGGAAAAAGTGCAACAGATTGGCCCAGGTGGAGATTACTCCATCCACACAGGTAAGTGTAGATGGAGGAATCTGTTGCACCTTTTCCATCTGACCACAGGAAATCTGCAGATAATTGTAAGGTGTATGGGCAGCCTTATGCTGGGCACACACCTTAAAACCATCGCAAGACTTTTGTCTTGCGATGGTTGTAAGGTAATTAAAAAAACGTATGATCTGCCTATCTTGGACAGACAGATCGCTGAGGGGCGGGGTTCCGATGACTGCAATGCTGAACGGGCACTTGCGCACACCGGCCTGTGCGGCTTTTATCTTGTGAACATGCCACACACCCGCCGACAATTGTACGATGTTCGGCTGGTTTGCAAACATGTTCGTAAGATAAAAGTTGTGCGACCGTACAGTAGCAGAGCAAAACAAACGACAAACGCACTCAACAATTTGTTACCAGTTGTACAGTAAGGTGCACACGAAATGGGCGTAGAACAGTAGAAAGGTATCATGGCACACTCACAAACTAGCATGTAAAACAACTTGTCTCACCACTAAGGACAATGACAGAGGTTTGGATACACGTCTTCTGCAAAGGATGTGTAAGCCGCACTGCCGCGCCAAGGCACCTCTTATAGTGCGGTCCTAACTCTAAAGGTAAAGCAAAATCGGTTTTGCTTTACCGATTTGGTGCAGCGACGCATGGATTACGATAATCGTACGATCGTGGGGTTTCCCGCGATTATCGTAAGGTGTGTGGGCACCTTTAGTCTCCACATTTCTCTCATGACAGGTTTCCTCTCAGCTTAAAGGAGAACTATGGGGTCAGTTTTTTTCCCCATAGTTCTCCTTGGGGTAACGGGAGGACACAAACTAGCGTCCTCCCGTTACCCTAAGCTCAGTATACCGCGAGCTATAGCTCGTGGTATACTGAGACGCCGCACCTGGAGAGGATCCCGACTTAGATGACGGGATCCGCCCAGCTGCATAAGTGACAGCTGGCTCTGCCTTTCTAGGGGCAGAGCCAGCTGTACCCGCCCCGTCCCCCGTCCGTTCCACCAGTCAGCGCTGGCAGATCGGAGCGGGGAGAGGGGAATCCAGCCCTCCCCCTGTCACGGCAGAGAGCCGTGACAGGATCGAGAGGTGAGGGAACCCGGCATGGGTTATCGCACCTCCCGATCTACTGAGCCGACCTGTGACGGTCTCATTGTCACAGGTCGGCTAGAACTACGAGGTGAGTGGAAATCCCTCATCTCATAGTTCTTCTTTAAGGGCGTGTCCTTGGACGGGCAAATGCAGGGTGCTTTGACAGAAGTTTGAGATGCTTCTCAGATCATTAAGAATCTGTTACAGGCGCGGTTGCCTTCTGAATTCCCATGGACTTATATAGGGAGAGAAGCATTTTGGACACAGACCCTATTGTGCTGTGAGCAATGGTGCATATCTTGGGATTGTGTTTATTGGGTGTGCAGTTGATCTGTGAATTGTCTGTCAATAATAAGAGTCATCATAGCAAAGAAACAGGTAACACTGGTTCCCAGTAGTGATGAGACTGGGCTTCATGTAAACCCTGTTCACCCAAAGCCCTCTCAAAACTGTGACCATACCTCCTCATGACCCAGTCACTGGTGGAGAGGCTCATTCCCCCACACAAAAGGGTAGGGAATGCCACAACTGCTGCCAGTGATTGATATAGCACTGACAGTGTACCCAGCACATTCACATCAGTTGCTGCCCTCAAGGAGCTTATAATCTAAGACGCCATTCACACTGAGCGTTTTGTAGTGCGTTTTCTGCTCAAAAATTGATCAAATATAAAGCTTAATGTTGCTCTTCCAATGCATTTTAATGGAGATGTTTACATCTTGAAGCTCAATGTCGCTTATAGCTGAAGCTTGTAGCTTGGCCCAAATAGACTTTAATGGTGTAGCTCAATACGGCGTTTTTGAGCAACATTGTAGTGCGATGTCACGCTACACAGGTGTCACTTTTGCCCACAAATTACACTCTCCACAGAAGCAGGAATTATTTCACATTAAAGACCGCTTTTGATTGGATACAGCCCAATCCAGCAGCTACAAAGTCCCTGTGGTAAACTGCCAATGTGCAACGTAGTTCACATTTTGAAGCGCTATGTAGCACCTCAAAATGTGCACTGTAGCTCAATGTAGGTCAAAGTCGCTCTGCTCAAATCAGCTCGGAAAAAGCGCTAATATTGTTGTAGCTCAGTGTGAATGGGGTCTTAGGTCCCCATCTCACGTGCATACATACAAGGGACAAGTTTGTCAGGCAAACTTGAGAACATGCAAACTCCATGCAGATAGTGTCGCTGCTGAGATTGGAGCAAGGACCCCAGACAAGGCAGAAGCACTGGCCACTGACCCGCTGTGCTGTTAGGCTTTCAATAGGCATTATTACACAGAAAATGAACGGGGAAAAGCTCCAAGTGTTTTTTATCACCGCTACTCTTCTCTTATACTGACCGTTCGGAATTAAAACAAAATACAATAATGTGTAGAGGTTGGGTGAAATGTTGAGGGCCCATTCACAGCAGCTAGCCACTGAGCTACCAATTGTTCACCTCCTTTCTCTGACTTCAATGCTTTACCATTGCCGAACTCTACTTGTGAATATGTTTGTTTCCTGGCTGTTACGTTGATACAAAGTCTTTAATACTTTCTGAGTCACGGGCCGGGAACAAACATGCAGCTAGAGAAGGCAAAGAATACTCATGCTGGTTTCAAGTCAGTAACCCAGAAAGTATGAAAGCCTTTGGATCAACAACCAAGAAACTAACCTATTCAAAAGCAGAGCTCAGCAATGGAAACCTATGTATACGTTAGTCACCCTGAGAGAGCAGATAGGTTTGGGGGTCACCATTGATGTAACACTGGGGTTCATCCAGCCCTGTAAGATTAAACTGACCCCTTGTTTGTAGAGGTGATGCAGAGCACTAAAACCACTAAGGGCAATTCCATCTTTAACACCATGTTCCATTTATATTTAGGGTTTAACCTTGTGCCATTCCACAGCCCCCCCACTTACCTGCATTATGGGGTCTGCCTCTTCGCAGGGTTCTGTTCTCATTTGAATTTGGCGCAGTCATGCATGGCTCTACCCACACAGCCATGTCAATCATTCGCACGACAACCACTGTGGCAGAGGTGCCCATAGAGTGCGTGGCTCTACCCACACAGCCATATCAATCATTCACACGACAACCACTGTGGCACAGGTACCCATAGAGTGCGTGGCTCTGCCCACACAGCCATGTCAATCATTCACATGACAATCCCTGTGACAGAGGTACCCATAGAGTGCGTGGCTCTGCCCACACAGCCATGTCAATCATTCGCACGACAACCACTGTGGCAGAGGTGCCCATAGAGTGCGTGGCTCTGCCCACACAGCCATGTCAATCATTTGCACGACAATCACTGTGGCAGAGGTACCCATAGAGTGCGTGGCTCTGCCCACACAGCCATGTCAATCATTCACACGACAATCACTGTGACAGAGGTACCCATAGAGTGCGTGGCTCTGCCCACACAGCCATGTCAATCATTCGCACAACAACCACTGTGGCACAGGTACCCATAGAGTGCGTGGCTCTGCCCACACAGCCATGTCAATCATTCACACGACAATCACTGTGGCAGAGGTACCCATAGAGTGCGTGGCTCTGCCCACACAGCCATGTCAATCATTCACACGACAATCACTGTGGCAGAGGTACCCATAGAGTGCGTGGCTCTGCCCACACAGCCATGTCAATCATTCACACGACAATCACTGTGGCAGAGGTACCCATAGAGTGCGTGGCTCTGCCCACACAGCCATGTCAATCATTCACACGACAATCACTGTGGCAGAGGTACCCATAGAGTGCGTGGCTCTGCCCACACAGCCATGTCAATCATTCACACGACAATCACTGTGGCAGAGGTACCCATAGAGTGCGTGGCTCTGCCCACACAGCCATGTCAATCATTTGCACGACAATCACTGTGGCAGAGGTACCCATAGAGTGCGTGGCTCTGCCCACACAGCCATGTCAATCATTCACACGACAATCACTGTGGCAGAGGTACCCATAGAGTGCGTGGCTCTGCCCACACAGCCATGTCAATCATTCGCACGACAACCACTGTGGCAGAGGTGCCCATAGAGTGTGTGGCTCTGCCCACACAGCCATGTCAATCATTCACACGACAATCACTGTGGCAGAGGTACCCATAGAGTGCGTGGCTCTGCCCACACAGCCATGTCAATCATTCACACGACAATCACTGTGGCAGAGGTACCCATAGAGTGCGTGGCTCTGCCCACACAGCCATGTCAATCATTCACACGACAATCACTGTGGCAGAGGTACCCATAGAGTGCGTGGCTCTGCCCACACAGCCATGTCAATCATTCACACGACAATCACTGTGGCAGAGGTACCCATAGAGTGCGTGGCTCTGCCCATACAGCCATGTCAATCATTTCAACGACAACCACTGTGGCAGAGGTACCCATAGAGTGTGTGGCTCTGCCCACACAGCCATGTCAATCATTCACACGACAACCACTGTGGCAGAGGTGCCCATAGATCTCAATGGCGTACAAGCGTGGTGATGTCACAATACTTGTAGTCCATTGATAACTTCCTCCAGCTCCATAACGTAAGCTCTATACCTTGGTACGTCCTAGTGCCGGAGAGACATTTGAGCCGAGCATTGCACACGCCATCCGCCGATCCAGATTGCAATGCTTCGCAGGCTCCATTGCAATAACTGAATGCATTGGTTTTGCAGTGATGAATTCTTTGCAAAAAGTGGAGTATGCTTTTAATGATCATCTTCATCCTGATTATGAAGGTGCAACAGGATACAGTGCAGCATCTCCCACATGGAATAAGCTCTGGATGCATCATCGCACAGCCATGACACAAAGATCACATTTACTGTCAACTTATGTGTGCGTGTGGTGAAGAGTCCCACCCGAACAAAATGCCACTTCTCTTACCTTGATCCTCTCCACGCTCGCCTCCAGCTTCAGCTGCTCCACCAGTCTCTGCATAGTGCTCAGGTTGGAGTTTGAAGACATGTTTATTCTCCAGGGGAAAAAGGTGCACCCTGTTGCTTCTTCTCCAGATAGTACTTGTGATCGGATCCGGGCAGGAAATGATCTCACGAGCAGCTAAACTAACACACTCTCCTACCCATCCAGCACCAAATGCGGCTTCCAAACTCGGCTGGACTGGGAAAAGCTGTGCTGTCAGCGCCACCTACTGGCAGGAATCGGTAAGAACTGCAACTCAGCAGCTAATGGATGCTTGAAAGGTCCAACATACAAAACAAAACGTTACATTGGAGAAAGTTTGTATTGCTTACCTAAAGTACACGAAGAAATAGTGTAAACTATGTGGAAGGCAATATAATACCTCTTTTGCAGAAATGTAAGAAACAATCTAATACATGGTGTTATCATAGATAAAAATAACACTGAAAGTAGTAAAAAAGGAGTTAATAATAGTGGGCTCACTCCAGTCAATATAGGAAATCCGTTGGCACATGTAAGTATAACTAACAACGGACGACCGAAATCAAGGCAGAATAATAACAATAAAAATAGTGGGGAACAACAAGGTAGTAAACTTTTGTCCCACAAAAAGAGAGGAATTAAATCACCCTGTCACCGATGGGTAGACTCGCAGGGTTATTTTACAAAAGGGTGAAGAGTTTGGAGAAGGCAGGAGAAGTGAACAATCTAGGACAACATAGATGATTTGTAAAAATTCTCCATTTCAGTTCACTTTCCAGTTTAGCTATGTTGTCCTAGATTGTTCACTTCTCCAAACTCTTCACCCTTAGTGAATAACGATGTCAATCTGCCACAGTGGTTGTCGTGCGAATGATTGACATGGCTGTGGGGGCAGAGCCACGCACTCTATGGGCACCTCTGCCACAGTGATTGTCGTGCAAATGATTGAAATGGCTGTGTGGGCAGAGCCACGCACTCTATGGGTACCTGTGCCACAGTGGTTGTCGTGTGAATGATTGACATGGCTGTGTGGGCAGAGCTACACACTCTATGGGCACCTCTGTCACAGTGGTTGTCGTGTGAATGATTGACATGGCTGTGTGGGCAGAGCCACGCACTCTATGGGCACCTCTGTCACAGTGGTTGTCGTGCGAATGATTGACATGGCTGTGTGGGCAGAGCCACGCACTCTATGGGTACCTCTGTCACAGTGGTTGTCGTGCGAATGATTGACATGGCTGTGTGGGCAGAGCCACGCACTCTATGGGTACCTGTGCCACAGTGGTTGTCGTGTGAATGATTGATATGGCTGTGTGGGCAGAGCTACGCACTCTATGGGCACCTCTGTCACAGTGGTTGTCGTGTGAATGATTGACATGGCTGTGTGGGCAGAGCCACGCACTCTATGGGCACCTCTGTCACAGTGGTTGTCGTGCGAATGATTGACATGGCTGTGTGGGCAGAGCCACGCACTCTATGGGTACCTCTGTCACAGTGGTTGTCGTGCAAATGATTGACATGGCTGTGTGGGCAGAGCCACGCACTCTATGGGTACCTGTGCCACAGTGGTTGTCGTGTGAATGATTGATATGGCTGTGTGGGCAGAGCTACGCACTCTATGGGCACCTCTGTCACAGTGGTTGTCGTGTGAATGATTGACATGGCTGTGTGGGCAGAGCCACGCACTCTATGGGCACCTCTGCCACAGTAGTTGTCGTGTTAATCTGCTACAAATCTGTAGCAGATTAAAACTTTTTTTTCTCCAGTCACTAAGGATGACCCTCTTCAATGTTGTCCCTAGAACACAAGGAGGGGAATTTATCAAAACCGGAGCAGACAAACTCTGGAGTAGCTGTGCACGGCAACCAATCAGCTTCTCTCTTTCATTTTCAAATCTAAACTGAACAAACTGAAGACAGAAGCTGATTGGTTGCCATGCACAGCTGCTCCAGTTTTGTCTGCTCCAATTTTGATAAATTCCCCTCATGGTCTTTACAAGGGTAGGAGGTGTAATAAAAACATAACATAGATACCAATATGTATCAGTGTGTTGTGCTGTCAGTGAAGTATGGGAATTGGTGTTGTAGTGCTTCTGTAAAGCCTATAAGCAGTATAATAACTGTAGATGCTTCTTCAGCTGGATGGAACAATCTGTGAACATGCCATGGTGAGAGCATTTACTAATGGTTCTTTGGTATCCTACTGAATGGAAAACGAATTGAATTACCAGATTATCCTATTACTTATTGTGCTCTGATCAAATAGACTTTCATCAGTCATTTCTAAACATTTTACCAACAGCATATGATAAGGTAGACCAGCCTAATAACTTTGTTTACTTTCCTTTTTACTGGATGGGCTAGTGCCTTGTGGAAGCTCTGGCTCTACTGTTATATTGTAGCCTCCCGGAGCTGTCACTGTTTCATTTTTTGATCTTACATTCAGGGCCGGCCTTAGGCCTTTAGGCGCCCTGTGCGAGAAAGCTTTACAGCACCCCTCAGTGACCACACCCCTCAGTATTTTGGTAGTGTACAATGTACACACTCCATTCAGGTCCCCACACAGCAGCACAGTTCGCTGCGGTGGCATCCCGTGCACTGTGATAAACAGGTTTTGTAAGGTGTATACTACGGTTAGCTCAGGCTAGGTTCACACCTAGGCGATTAAGCTGGTGAGCTGTTTTCGCTTGCAGCGAAAACCGTGCAGTTTTCAATGCATGGAGATGTCTATGGGACCCAAACCGTGCGACAGCTGGCTGAAAATAGCTCTTTTTGCGCAACAGGCGATTTCGTTCTCATGACAAACCGCAAAGGTATGAACAGCCTCCATTGACTTCAATGGAGGCTGTTCATGGAGGACTTCAATGGAGGCTGTTTTTGCAACTCAATCCGTGCGATAAATCGCCTAGGTTAACTTAGCCTGAATGTCATCTGAGTGTCTTGTTAAATGCATGTACCTTTACTTGTATAACATGCATTTATTAAGAGTCATAAAATACTCTTTCCAAATGATATCAGACAGATGTGTGTCAGTTCTCATACTGCAAAGAAATCCAGTTGTATGCTGTGCTAATTATAGAACCAAAAGATAGTATTTACAAAGTTCCAGGCTTAAAATTCCTTTGTGCTGTTCTGGGAATTCTCCACTTGAGTAGTATGTCAGGACTTGAAAGTACAACCAGATAAACAAATGCAGCTGTACATGCACCTAAAATCTTTCTTCTCTTACTGATTTATTAAGCCACTAACCATGGCACAAAGTCATAGGTGAGATCACACTTAAAGGAGAACATGTCTAAAATAAAATGTTGACCCTATGTTGCGTTTTTGCTTTTTTTATTAATAGCCAAACTGTTAGGTCTAATTTGCAGTGAAGTGAAGGGGTGGTAAAACTACACAGGTGATGTGCGGTTTTACTGCCCCCCAGCTGCCCGCTGCAATGTCCACACTGCAGCTGCACAGTGCTGTACACATTGTCCTGGTCATGATGATGCTTTGCAGCAAAAAATATACAACATGTTGCATTTGATAGGACGTGCTGCTTCTGAAAGACAATTGAAATGAATGGGACAGCGCATACCCACATACCCTGTAGTTGTGGTGCAGTACTTCAATAGAAAATCCCATTGGGATAAAAAAAAAAAAAAACTGAGTTCAAGGGGCCGCGGTATTGCCTTCTGAACACTGGGCAGCCACTGCTCCACTGCCCTGTAAAAGCAATCCACCGCAAAAGGCTTCTCCGAGAGTAGTGTACGGTAAAGCCCATGTGAATGAGGCCTTGTATGTAATGTGCATGGCAAGTAGTTATGAGCTTGGTTTGGTGCAAACCTAGTTCACCCAAAACTGTGACTGCCCCCCCTTCTTCCGACCCAATCAGTTGCGTTGGGGGGGGCATTCCACGCCCCATTTTGAACATATAGCTGCAGAGGGGGACTGCATCTGCAGCAACTGAGAGGCAAAGGCTGGTCCCTACCCAGCTGTAAGGAGAGGATTTGTCCAATGGAGACAGGAAAATCCTACCGCACTACTTACTGGTATGTCCCTTGCGGTGAGTGCTGTATTGAGGGCGGATGGCGCCGCTTCAGATTCAAGTAGTAAAATATATCACCGGTAGTGATGGGCCGAACACCCCCGTGTTCGGTTTGTATTCGAACATTCGAACGGCCGAAAAGTTCGAATTCGAACCCAATGCAAGTCAATGGGGGTCGAACTTTCGGAAACGATTGTCCTCTTTAAGAGGGCTTTTATGCAAGTTATTGGCCCTAAAAGGTGTATGGGGTACTGCCCTGGGGGACAGGAATCAATTTTAATTAAGAATAAAAATGAAAAACTGTGCAATGTATAGAACCTGCTGAAGCAAAAAGTGACATTTAAAAGAAAAAAAAATTCTTTTTTTTTTTTTTTTTTTACTCTTAAAGCATGCAGTTCCCCTTCCCAAACAATACCAGGCCCTTTAGGTCTGTTAGGAATGTTTTTTTTAGAAGAGGTTAGGGTTCCCCTAAAAAAGTCATACCAGGCCCTGAAGGTCTGGTAGGAATATTTTGGAGGGATCCCGTGTAAAAAAAAAAAAAGTGTGTGGGGTTCCCCCTTAAAGTCATACCAGGCCCTTAAGGTCTGGTAGAACTTTAAAGGAGGAACCCCACCCTCCTAAAATTCCATAACACACCCTTGATCCGAGCATAGGCCTGGCAGGGCCGGAAAGGGGGGGACGAGTGAGCGCCCCCCCTCCCACAACAGGCCACATGTCTTCAGCACTGAGAGGGTGCTTTTCCAGGGTCGCCCATGGAAAAGCACCATGTGCCCGTGCCAATGGGGACAAGGGCCTCTTCCCGACAACCATGACCCGGTGGTTGTGGGGGTCTGCGGGCAAGGGGCCTTATTTGCATCAGGGTACCCCTTTAACCAGTTGACATCCGCGGTGTTAAACCCCCTTCCCATCCAGACTAAATCCTTTATTTGGAAACACAAGCAAATGACATGTTTTTGACAAGTCTTTTATTTAAAAAAAAAAAAAAAGCCCAAAAACAGGGATCCACCAACGTAATCCATGGTCAATCATGGCGTCCACGACAAAGACCATGACTTTAGCCTGCGGACATAGAGGCTGCTTGCCCTCTTATTGCTGCATGGGAGCATCTGCCTGTTCTTTTTGGCCTTTCTGACATGATGTTTACTGCAATAATCGACTGTTAGAATCAACTGTTGTGATCGACTGCTATAATAGACTAGTATGACTGACTGCTATAGTACACAACTCTGATATAGAATGCTGTATATAGAACTATGCTATAGGACGCTGTATATAGGACGCTGTATATAGAAAGCTGTGTATATAGAACTCCGATATAGAACGCTGTATACAGAACTCCGATATAGAACGCTGTATACAGAACTCCCATATAGAACGCTGTATACAGAACTCTGATATAGAATGCTGTATACAGAACTCTGATATACAGGTGAAACTCGAAAAATTAGAATATCGTGCAAAGTTCATTTATTTCACTAAGGCAACTAAAAAGGTGAAACTAATATATGAGATAGACTCATTACATGCAAAGCAAGATAGTTCAAGCCGTGATTTGTCATAATTGTGATGATTATGGCTTACAGCTCATGAAAACCCCAAGAACCCCAAATCCACAACCTCAAAAAAGTAGATTATTACATGCAATCAATAAAACAAGGATTGTACATAGAACAATATCGGACCTCTGAAAAGTACAAGCATGCATATGTACTCAGTACTTGGTTTGGGCCCCTTTTGCAGCACTTACTGCAATTACTTTTGCACGATATTCGAATTATTTGAGTTTCACCTGTAGAATGCTGTATACAGAACGTTGTATACAGAACTCTGATCTAGAATGCTGTATACAGAACGCTGTATACAGAACTGTGATATAGAACGCTGTATACAGAACTCTGTATACAGAACGCTGTATATAGGATGCTGTATGTAGAACAATGTATATAGGACGCTGTATATAGAACAATGTATATAGAAAGCTGTATATAGAACTCTGATATAGAACGCTATATATAGGACACTGTATATAGGACTCTGCTATAGAACGCTGTATACAGAACTCTGCTATAGAACGCTGTATACAGAACTCTGATATAGAACGCTGTATACAGAACTCTGATATAGAACGGTGTATACAGAAGGTTGTATACAGAACTCTGATATAGAATGCTGTATACAGAACTCTGATATAGAACGTTGTATACAGAACGCTGTATACAGAACTGTGATATAGAACTCTGTATACAAAACGCTGTATATAGGACGCTGTATGTAGAACAATGTATATAGAAAGCTGTATATAGAACGCTATATATAGGACACTGTATATAGAACTCTGCTATAGAACTCTATTTTTTGACTGCAGCAACACACTACTTAGGGCTGCGGTGTAAGCAGCCTTATATAGTGTGCTGCTGGGACTTAGCTCTGAGCCATGATTGGGCAAAGTCATCATGACTTTGCCCAATCATGGCTCTAACTGAGTACTGAGCCCTGATTGGGCAAACTCTTGCACCACACCAGTGGTCATGTGCAAGCCTTTAATCAATTAGAGCATCAGAGGGCGCATTGCCTTGTGGGACATTGTGCGATCAAACAGACCGTAAACATCCCAAAAAGTTTGGCGTTCGACGATCGCGCGAACAGGCAATGTTCGAATCGAACTTAAGTTTGACTCGAACCGGCAGCCCATCACTAATCACCAGCACACCGTTTTGATTTAACCATGGTGTGCTGGTGATACATTTTACTACTTGTCCAATGGAGAAACTCCTAGGATGGAAGCCCCATGACTCGCATCGAGTGAAGTTTGCTTTCTATGTCTGATGATAGACCTTGGAGGAAGTAGACTTTCTTGCTTTTAATATTGCAGGGATCACCGATTCAAAGATGGCCCTGCATTTCAAAACCTGGGCTTCAACAGCCATGACAGCGACTATGAATCAGGATTGCAAATAAGTCCTTCAAACAGAAGATCTATCTGGTTACGTCCACAAAGTGTTTGCCAGGAGCCTTACTAGGTCTGCGTACCCCATCCTTGTTGGCCAATACAGAGCAATGATGATCACCAAAATGCCCTCTATCTTCATTCTGCAAAGCAGAGAAGTTTCAGGATAAGAAAGGCATAGAGCAGGGTGTACTGAGCATCCACAAGTGGATCCCTGTCCCCATAGACAAACCTGTCCTGTTTGTTGCTGAACATGAAGGCCAGGAGGTCCACATCTGTTGTCGCCTGTTCGTACGTAGGCACATCCAACATGTTTTCATTAGTATGTGCATGCATATGGGGAACTTTAAATAAAACGTTTGGGGTGTTTTTACATTTATTGTTTTAGCTAAATTTATTACCATCACATAGGCCTACGTAACAGCACATTGGTGGTGACAGGTTCTCTTTAGAAGACATTAAGAGACCACTAATGTCATCTTTGCACTTCACTGAATCTGATCAAGCACAGACAGTCCATGGAAGTTATTGGGCAAGTTACAGCCGCTCACACACAGTGACAACAGTGAAATGGTGAAATGGTTAAAAAAATCTGCCTCTGGAGCCTGTAGTTATATCCATATTTGCTCAATACATTTGTAGGCTTGTATTTTCCACTTGGTAGGTTTACACTGACTGTTTGTCGCTGAATGCCAGGCTTGCTCATGAGGGGAGGCCAATAAGTTCTTACCCTCATCATGATCTAGATTTGCTAGGAATCTGAAATTTTGCAGGTTTATATGTGAATATCTTAGTAATATGCATACCAATTTATGTTTTTGTAGGTCGTGGTGAATTATAGTTAGAGCCAAGAGAAATGGAGTAGGTGTCATGCCGGGCAAAGTTGAATAGCGAGCCGTGTGTTGCTGCTAGCTAACAATGCACCTGCACATCGACCTGCAGAAACTGTCACTTTTGTTTGCGATTGCGGCTATGAATCTCTGCCCATCCACCTTCCTCACCTGACCTGGCACCTTCCTGTTTCCAAATCTGAAGAAACATTTACTGAGAAGACGTTTTCCACAATGATGAGGCGGTCATTACTGAAGTTGATAGCTGGTTTTCTTCCAAATCTGCATACTTCTACGCAGATTGTATTAAAGGTCTGTTACACTGATGTGAAAAGTGTGTAACCATAGGAGGTGGATATGTAGAGAAAGAAGAGTCAGTGAACTATTTCAGATCCCTAGCACATCTGGATCATGGTGGAGGGTAAGAACTTATTGGTCTCCCCTCGTACTGGTAAAAATCTATACAGGCTCTAGGTGACATATCCTGGCATTTTAGCAATGGCTCAGTAACTAGTACTTCAATTAGAAATAGTAGGGCTAATGAATCTAGAGTTTTAGATTGGGAAAGGGTTACACTTGCTCCCAGGTTGTGTGTGACCTCACTTCCTTTCCTTGGAAAACCTATAAAAACATTCTGCTGTTATATCCCTTCCGCACTGTAATTAACATTTGTCTTTGTTTTTTAACGGTTCCCATTGGAGAGATTTCCTATCCTGATAGGAAGTTAAGGTGACTTTCCCCAACAGTGACGGCGATAACAATAAAGCCCGACAGAAGCTCTAACCTTTCCCCACTCTAAGACAAAGTAAAGCTTGGGCTAAAGTTTAGCTTTAACTAAGCCTTAAGTGTTATGTACCTTAGCCAAAGGTTCTATTTTCTGATCTCTTAACAAACACCTCATATAACCTCACCATTAACACCAACTAAAAGCAAGCTGTAGATTAAGGAATGATAATTCGTGAGAATCTTTGTGCATTCACCATTACATTAAAAAGACATGCATGTGGTAAATTGAACTGAACTGTGCAAGAAAAAACATTTAGTAAAGCAAGCAGAAAATTAGTGCATTTTGCAAATTTGAGAAAGTGAATGGTATGAAAATACCACATGCATTGATTTAACATATTCTCTGTTATATAATAAAGGATAACTACTTGACAACCAGCCCTTTGAATCAAACTTGCCAAATAACATCCAGGCCCTTAAAACAGACTAAGCCAGGTAGCAATTCACTGCTCTCCAGCTGTAGCTGCTGTGAATAGGGCACACATGCACAGCAATGGAGGATAAACAGTTGTTTATCCTCTGTGCTAGCAAACAAAAGGGCAGAGAAATATTTGGCAAATTTGATTAGGAACAGTTGACTTAAAGGTACAGCTATTCCTTAGGGCAAAGCACAACGTTTTGCTTGAATAACTCACCCTTCACCCTCACCCAAAGGAATTACCCGATGTATGAAAGATCTGGGTCAATCAGCACTGTCACACTGCAAATCCATGACCCCATGAAAGTTACATTTCTGGTGACTCATAGCTTATATAGGCCTTTCCTTTGATTGAGCAGTGGGCTAGTGAAAGGAAGTTAAAGGGGACAGCAAAGCACAGATGCACATTAAAAGGCAAGTGAGGTAGGCTTACACTCCTATGAAAAATTAGCAACTACTTTGGTTTGCTCTAGGAAATTAAAATCCCCTTGGACCTGTGTTGAGATTTCATCCTTCCAACTAGTCTTGCATTTGATTTTTTATTCAACGGACCACAATCTCAGTGACAATAACTGAAGTATCATTGCACAATGAGTAAATGCTCAATTGTCTTATTAAACAATTTGGCATAAAACAAACAAAACGTTTGTGTTTCTCTCCAATAGTAGTCGATGTGAGCAACCTAAAACACATAAGAGCGTCTGTCCTTGTGTATTATGTCAAACTGTATAATAAAGAATATGGTAAGCATGTACTCAATGTATGATCATTCTTCATTTATGGATGTGCTGTTTGAGAAGGAGGTAAAGCGGCAGCTGGGTTATACCCCAAAGCTGCAGTACCAATGGCTTCAGAAAGAACATCTGCTCTTAAAGATATGGTACTTGTTGGACAAGAAAGAAAGAAGAAAAAAAAACTACAACAGAAATCCAGCGCAGGTGACTGCTATCATTATCAATAGTATTAAAATACATTTTTAATTGTTCGATACTCTCCTAGTATGTTGTTTCAGAATGGTACAATATGTTTTTGCATTGCGGTAAACTGAGCAGCATCTTTCTGAAAATAGTTTGTTGATATGATTTCAATAAAGCATGTATTGCTGTAAACCAAGGGTAACAGAAATGATGCAAGTTTAAGATGACATATCTTGTGCAGCAAGTACAAAAATCTCTCATAATTTATTTTAAGAAAATAATCTCCTAAGGAACGAGCCTGTCAATCAATCATCTGCAAATGTTAGTCTTCCTGGTCCCTCATTTTTCATCCACCTCCTGTATCTCTTCCATCGGGCATCTGAAGCCATCTTTATCTTCATTTCTTCTTCTTGCTCTTTTTTGTAGATCTGTTAAAAGCCACAAAATAGAAATGGTTAATTTTGCTTACCCTGTTCTTTTCAACGTTGCATTTGCTTAAACATCCTATACACAATTACCAAGCCCGATGCATGTAATCTACACAAATGGTTTCCCCTGGTATGATGGATCTACCACTGACACAAACTACTAATTCTAATGGAAGTAATGCATGTAGGCAACCGATGGTTCATTAAAGGAGAACTATGAGGTGAGTGAGAATCACTCATCCTCATAGTTCGAGCCGACATGTGACAATGAAACTGTCACACGTCGGCTCAATAGATCGGGAAGTGAGCGAACAACATACTGTCGCTTGCTCACTTCTCGATCGTGGCCCTGCAGAGAGCTGCTGCGGTCTCAGTATTTTCCCACGAGCTGTAGCTCGCTATATACTTAGCTTTGGGTCACGGGAGGACGTTAGTACCCCTCCTGTACCCTTAAGAGAACTATGGGGAAAAACACTTACCCCATAGTTCTCTTTTAAGTGTTAATATGAGAACTGTGTGACAAAGGGAACTTAGATTCACCTTACAATTTATGAAAAAGTTAACAAGGAGTTCCATGTTACAAGTTCAGTGATTCAAAATGATACATCTTGGTCTTTTTAAAATGTGCTCTGCATTCAAGAAATACATAGTTTTTGATGGGATCCCAAAGCCTGGTCGGTTATCAAATTCAGGGAAATGAATTTACACATATCCGTTATAGAACACAGAAAAAAAGTGGTGCATGTTGCTGATAGAAGTAATGCACCTTGTAAAAATAACAATTTTAGTTCCTAGAAACTCCCATTCCTCCACAAAGATTTAATCCTCTACTTACTTCATAAATTTCTCGTTTCCACAGCTGCTCCTCAAGAAACAATTTCTTCCGATCATCTTCTAAAGTGTCAAACTGAGACTGTGACATTTTCATGTTTCTTCGGATGAGGTAGAGTTTTTCCTCTTCACCGTACTCGACCCGTTTGATGTTGAACGTATACACCCAGTGAACATACCAGTTGATGTACTTGAACAAATAATAGGGGAACAAGACAATCTGGACTAGTAGGATGTCATATATTTGTGGTTTTTGATAGCCCCCTTTGATGTCTATTTTGTTCTTTATAATGTCTCTTATTATCTCCTCATCTTCCTCCTTGATTTCTTCTTTAGACCTCCTGTTCTTCCCCTTCTCTTTTGCACGGTTCAATAAACCTTGCTGTTTTGCAATTTCAGTGGCCTGGATTCGATACTTTGGCACTGTTGCTAAGTATTTAATGGCTTCATTGTAGCTACTTCTCCAACTGTAAAACTGGCGGAAATAAAGAAACAAAATTAGGAAAATTCCAAAATGAAAGTATGCATGTTGTGTTAGTAATATGGGAGCCATCCAGCTTTGGAGGAGTTACTTCTGGTAAGAAAAAAAGGAAAGGAGAAAAAAGGAAGAAGCTTCATTAGCTAAGCTATTCAAATTAAATTCCAGTGTGTTGTTTGGGTCTCTGGATCTAAAATATCTAAAAGGTGCCCATACACCTACAGTTATGGTAACAATCTTGCTGGGATTGACTAATAGAAAGGCTGAAATGCTTACCTTTCCTGAGGAAAATGCTGTGCCAAAGCTCCCTCCTGTGCTGCTTACATAGCAAAAAGCCTACTGATCTCTGCTGGAGGGGAGGATCAATCTGTCCAAACTCTGATCTTTCCCTACACTAATGGACATGTCACAGCAGAGATCCCCTTGGGATGGGATTGTTAAACAGGGTAGAGGCTGTATATCGGATAGTGAGGGTAGAGACTTCCCTATGTCCATGTGTTGCTCCCTACTGGCTGTATGAGCGAAGTATCGCTTCCTTGCCTGCGACTTACATTCTGCAGAGTTTCTATCAGCGAGGGAGTAATACCTGACCCGTCCACCCAGCAAGGGAGTGACATATGCGAGCAGACCCTGTGCAGTTTTTAGTAATTCTGTGTCACATGGCCTTTAAAGCTTAGGCCCGGGGTAGGCAACCTCAGCACTCCAGCCTGTGGCTGCCAGCCTAGCAGATGCTCATGAGACTTGTAGTTCTACAACAGCTGGAGTGCCCCGGTTGCCTTCCCCCTGGCTTAGGCTTTTGATCACATGACCAGTCCAAGAGTGGGAAGCCTATCCCACCTCGACCTAACCACTAAACCTTCACATTCTCAAATAATCCATCCCCACACAGCTACCTCCTCATGTATCATTTCCCCCTCCTCTATTGGATTGTAAGCCCTCAGGGGCAGGGCCCTCCTTACCATCTTGTCTTGAATTGTATTGTAATGTCTTTCTTATATTGTAAAGCGCTGCGCAAACTGTTGGCGCTATATAAATACTATTTAATAATAATAATAATACACCTGCCGATTATCATACGATAATCACGGGTGATCCTGCGATCGTACGATAATCGGCAGGTGTATGGAAGGCGTGCGTCCGTTTCTACTGTATGATTGTAGAAATGTCACCAGCACACCAGTCCTATTAAGATAGCAAAAGCTTCATTTATTGAAGTTTTTTGTCATATGACCAAACAAGCGCTTTCGGGACCGCGCAGGGTCCCTTCATCAGGCTTTAGCATTGGATTTGTGGCCTGCTTGGAAGACAAATGCCGAACGGGCCGATGTGCGCAAGTGCACACTGCCCGCTCAGCATTGGAATCATCTGAAGCCCGCCCCGAAAGTACAATCTGCCTGTCCAGGATGGGCAGATCGTACGAGATTTCAATTACCTTACAACCATCGCACAGCGAAAGTCGTGCCATGGTTGTAAGGTGTATGGGCACCTTAAGATTGAATGGGAGTAGAGCTGCAACTGACAAATATGTTCATAATCAATTAGCTGGCCAAATATTTTTTCTATTAAATCGGATTACAAAAAGAAAAAATTTTAAAAAATTAAATATCGTCTTTTATTTAAAATAAAATACACAAATGTGGAGTGTTACAACCATGGCGTTTACTTCAGACTAAAACGGCATGCACAATTTATTGCAATTGCACGGGAATGCAATACCGCGTGTTCGGGTGTGGGCAATTGGGAGGTGTGTTTGGGATGCCACTAAAGTGAATGGCACCTCCCGCACCAAAATTTGTGAGGCTGAAACCAAAAATTATTTTTTGTTTTATTGGGGTGGGTGGGGTAAGGGGCTGTGCTTCATTTCTGTTTTTAACTTTTTTTTAAATATATTTATTTGTATTTCTTCTTTTTACTTTACTGTTGGGGGGGCTTTGGCAAAATATCAGAGATCTAAACAGACCCCAGATATTTCCCTTTTGAAATAAAAAAAAAAGGGAAGAAGACAGAGTCCTCAATAAGAAGACCCAGGTGGATGCCACTGTGGAAAGAAAAAAGGCAGTCTGGAATTTTCTAAAATGCATATTGACAAACCACAATGATTCTGAGAGAACATCCTTGGGACAGCTGAGACAAAACTGGAGCTATTTGGCAAGTCAATTTAGCTCTATATTCACAGATCAAAATAAAGGAGATTTTAAAGAAAAGAATTCCGTACCTATTGCCTTAAATCTGTTAAGGGCACAATAAGCTAAAAGCATCTAAGCTGTGTCTGCATGCGGGTGCACGCGTCCATAGATTACCTTTTGTCTATCCTCGCGTCCCGGCCGAAAATGTGGACTGCGCATGCACCCTTCCCAAGATGCTTTGCGGCCGCCCAAGAATTCTCAGATTTTCGGAGGGGAGCGTGCAGGGAAGACACAGGTAAGTTTAAACTGCTTTTAACGCGTTTTTTTTAACACTTTTTGCATATATCTACTGCTTAAGAATGATTTTGATTCTTATCCTGTAGTTGTACTTTAAGCAGACGCGTATAGTTAATAGGCTAAGAGTTACCTGAAAAAGTGAGATGACGCACACTGTAACTAGGATGACAATTCTCACATCCACCTTTGGCGCTAGCCTCCTACTATAATAATGGTAGTAGTGACTGTAGTATTCCTCGGGGTGGTCCAACATGTAATCATAATCCTTTCGAGTTTCTTCATCCTAACAGGGAGAAATAACAACACTATTAAAAACGAACTTTCAAGCTTAATGCGGTATATGCGCATTCCCAATAAGAGATAGTGTTGATAATGTATAAGTTCATGCATGTATTTCTGGTTGTTTAAACTTGCATGTAATAAACAATTTTACTATAAAACAAATTCTGTATTTTTATCTGCCTGTTAAACTCACATTTTTAGGTTATTTAATTACACTTCAAATCTAGTTAGGGCTGACATCTGAGATTCACACTCATGGACCAATAAAAAGTTCACAGCACACCAGTAGAAAGAAGAAGAAAAAAAATTGTTGAAGGATCAGAGTGCCAAACGGAAATCATCTAAAAATGAGTCATCCCTACAGAGGATCAGAGTTCTCACTACGGCCTGTAAAATAAACAAACACATACACTGTACTCATCATTTACTAATATCAGCACAGAATGTCACATGCAAATAAAGCTACTAGATTATTCTTCAATAAACATGCTATGTTTAAACCATCAGCTTGAGAAAGTGGAAAACCTATTTGCCCAATCCCAGTTACTGATCGGCAGAGGTTACCCCACTTGGAAGCCCTGCCAATCAGCTATTTTACCGTCAATTTAATACCCTTAGCAGATGACAAGATATACCTGATGCTTCCATGCCCTTTATGTACTGGGGGAATGTTTCAAAGCCCGGCAAACACTGGCCCAGAGGTGAGCACTCACTGCTGCAGGATTAAAGCCGACCTGTGACAAAGAAACTGTCACGTCGGCTCTATTGACCGGGAAGTGAGCAGAAACATGCACCGATCCGCTCACTTCTCGATCGTTTCCCTGCAGACAGCAGTGACAGCTCCCTGCAGGGATTCCCCCCTCCCCTTCAGCACTGACTGGAGGAACGGACGGGGTGGGGGCAGGCACAGCTGGCTCTGTCTCTAGATAGACAGAGCCCTCTGTCACTCACACAGCTGGGTGTATCTCGACAGTATCGTCCGTCCCGGCTACAGAGTTCACAACAAGCCCGCTATATACTGAGTTTTGGGTCACGGGAGGATGCTAGTATATGTCCTCCCATGACCCTAAAGAGAACTATGGGGGAAAAACACTTTACCCCAGTTCTCTTTTAAGTCTTTCTTCCTTATTCCAGCCCTAAAGGAAAATCAGCAATTAACCCTTCAGGTGCAGGGGTAGTCCTACTGCAAGGATTAACTTTTTACATAGCTGTAGTTCTTTAAGAAAAACTCATATTGCTAGGTTGCAATGGTCAGAAATAGCCAACTCCAGCAGCCTAATGTCTTATGTGTGATTACCTCCAATACTGAGGGATATTCCATGTCAGAATGTGGAAGCAAGGCTGCAGGGACTCATCTAGAGGTCAGCTGGCTCCGAAAGTCAGGTTAGAATTTCTGTTATTTTAGCTCCCAAGACCTGGCTGTATCCCAATTGATACGCGCGACAAAAACGCCCCAAAGAAGCTCCTGTACTTCTTTGGGCATAGGGCGTTAGGCATAGGGCGTTTTGTATCGCATTCATACGGCCTGTAATACGCCCAAGTGTGAACCATTCCCATAGGAAATAATGGGATTTCTGTGTTTGAGCGTTTTCCAGAGCGTAGGAACACGCTACAAAACGCCCAGGTGTGAACCGGGCCTTAAGGTCTGGTTTCAGCTGCACTTTAATGCAATCTGGAACATCCTGTGGCAATCCAAACTTTTTGCCCTTACCAGTTGTTCATTGTGGCTCTACCACAGCAATGCCAAGTCATAGTGTCCCTACCTGTGCCCACCTTCCAAACAATAGAAAACAGGCTTATAAAGGCTGCCTACTACCCATAACAGCCAATGTGATCAGTCTGTAGCGCTGTATTCACCTTTAGAGTCTCGTAGGCAGTGGCAACCAGGAGGAATTGGTTGTGCGCGTTCTCTTTGTCCTCATTAGACCGGTACCGGTCCGGGTGGTACTTCCTGGCCAGCTGCCGGTATGCCCGAGCGATGTCCGCCCTGCTGGCCTCTCTGTTCACCCCCAGCACATCATAGCACACTTGCTGGCCGCAGTACAGCCCCTCTATGAGCGCGGCCGCCTGGCCAGCCAAACACGACAGGCTCAAGAGCAGGAAGAGCAATCTCGGGGACATGGAGGGCCCGGGAAAGAGGAGAGGGGTAAGGCATGCAGATGCTTCCCCCTCCGCCTTCCCCGGGACCGCCATGTCAGCAGCCGCCAGCTGCAACGTGACACCGGGGAGGAGCCTCTGGATCGTCCGTACATCACAATAACTTTATTGGTAGGAGCACAACGGACAACACTACAAGTCATCCAGTGCCACTGAGCACCTGTACTGATGTAAAATGTCAACGGTGCAATAAAAGACTCACGTTTCGAATAAACAGTGACAGACTGCTCATAAAACCATGCCATATGGAAATATGTTTTACGTTTTTCCCATCACGCTGAACATTGTGTGGAATCATTTCCAAATTAAAGTGGATATCAAGCCAAAAACCTGTTTTCTAGGTTTGGATAGAGCTTGAATGGTTTTGCACGGATTAGAACCCCTGTTGAAAGTTCACTTCTACCCAGGGCTCCATTAGAGAGATTTCCCCTCACTTCCTGGACTGCCAACAAAGGTTTAATCAGACAGGAAGTGAGGGAAAATCTGAAACTGGGTCTGAGACAGACATAAAAATCTAACAGGGGTTCTAGCCTTCTTCTTTTTGACTCAAGAAAAGCGTTTTTATTTCTGTTTGTGATACTGTAGAAGATTTCCTGTCACTTCCTCTCTGGTAAAACATTGTCAGCAGGAAGTGAAGGTGCCCCGGATAGCAGTAATAACCTGACGGGGGTTTTAATTGTTTTTCACTATATCTAGGAAAAGATGGGGGGGTTTCACCCCTACCAATAATGCATAGAGCAAGAGTAGGCAACCTCAGCACTCCAGCTGTGGTGAAACTACAAATACCATTATGCCTTTGACTCTGGGAGTCATGTTTGTGGCTGCCAGAGTCTTGCAATGCCTCATGGGACTTGTAGTTCATAACAGCGGGAGTACTGAGGTTGCCTACCCCTGACACAGAGGTTGGATGAAAGGTGTAGGGCCCATTCACACCAACGATTATATAGTATATCATCACCAGCACACAATACTGAAAGGTAAAGGCAGGGCATTTATTCAACACTCATAAAAGAGCGATGTTTTGAGGCTAGTTTTTATAAACAGTAGTTACTGAGGGGGAGGCCCTTAGAAGCCCCAAAACTTGCTTTTTATGGGTGATGAATAAATGTCATGCCTTTAACTTTCAGCATGATGTGCTGATAATGATGTATAACAGAGGTGGGCAACTCCGGCCCTCCATCTGTTGTGGAACTACAAGTCCCATGAGGCACTGCAAGGCTGACAGTCACAGGCATGTGGCAAAGGCATGTTGGGATTTGTAGTTAAAGCACAGCTGGAGGGCCAGAGTTGCCCACCCCTGATATATAATCTTTGATGTCTGCTGTGATGGCTCCATCCGTCATTACAACATAGCAAGATATGGTGTATTTCTGTATGGAGTGCGCTGCATCATTCACACCACTGTATGCACATTGTGCTGCTCTGTATAATGTGTGCTCACTGGTGTTGTTCAGGGGTGGTGCGACGCATTGTTAGTACGCATCACACTGTTCACTTTTTTTTTAAACATTATTGAAGTGTCACAAAATGTTAGGCCACGAAAGAAAAATAAGAGAAGTGGCCCCATGGGATTGTCGCCCCTATGACCCATGTGTTTTTAAAAACTATTTATATTCAAATAGAGGCGTGGGGTAACTGTTAAGTACATGTCTCTCTGGGACTGATTTGCTGGTTCTTTCTGCTTTGTCTTTCAGGTTACAAGCTGCATGCTGTTGCTAGGAAGATTTACCTCAGTTGCTGGACAGACCTTCAGTCAGCTGAGCAAAACTGTTAATGGTTAACAGTTTGGGTAATGTCGCTCACTTTGTGGGTGGACAGTGGTTGGTGAACGGTAATTTGGTTGGTGTAAGTTATTGCTGCTTGAGTCGTAGTGACTAAGCATGCTGGTCTGTTAATGGTTAACAGTTTGGGTAATGTCGCCCACTTTGTGGTGAACGGTAATTTGGTTGGTGTAAGTTATTGCTGCTTGAGTCGTAGTGACTAAGCATGCTGGTCTGTTAATGGTTAACAGAGGTTTTGTTTGGTAATAAACGTTAAAGTCTATTCATTGGTAAAATTGATTCAAACCCAATAAAGGGGCCGCGGCCTATAGTTATTCCACATTCATTGTTGTGTTTTACTTTATTATTTAGGTTTATTGTTATGGTATGATAGGTGTCAATGGGGAGTACAATCCCATGACATTCCATTTAACTCTATGCCTCACAATATGAGGTGATGTGGTGTAGCACGTCGCAACGTGCTGTGTAAAAATGCAAGCTGTTCTACATTTCTCCAATGCAGTGTATTTGTATGAAGTGAAGCAACAAGACATAAGACACAATTGCCTTTTCTATGTGTTCAGACTGCTTTGGACAATACTGCCCAATGCAGCTCAGGGCTGGTGTGAACGAGCCCTTAGTGTGGTATACAAAAAAGAGACAACTGAGTAGAAAAGAAGGACAGAGGGAACTGGTTTCCAGTGATGGACAGTTGGGACTCAGATCTATGCCCGCCACCCATATAAACCTAACCTATGACAATGGTTGTCAACTTACAATGTATAGGAGGCCTCAAATGTGACCTAAAAAGGGCCGCGCATAATATTTACTATATGTGATGCTACAAAAGACTGTCATAGACTGAAGACTAATTAGAGAAAATGGTCAGAGGCTGTTCTAGAGATATGTTACAGGAAACTGCTAGAGGTTACTGTTATTAAAAGACCCTTTACAAAATCAATGCTCCCGCTACTGATTGCTGGGGCCCGAGGGCCGCATTTCGAACACCAGGGACCTATGAAGCATAAGCCAGGCAACTTTGTAAGCATATCAAAAAAGTCTGTAAACTCATTACCCAATGGTTGTTAAAAAGCTGAGTGTGTTTGCTACGTGTTTCACTTGTTGGATTTGGTGTGGGGATTAACTGGGGGCTTCAGCTGCCATTGTGATGTGCGGGGCTTCTGGTGTGTCCCGATGCCTTTAAGGAGGATTGGGCTACCTCCTGGCAAACCTGCTCCCAATTCATCCTTTGCTATATATGCTCCAAATAGAGGCTCTCGTAGATTAGAGTTTGGACTACACTATATAGAAGGGCCTTGATGAGGCAGTGTGACCGCCACATATTTTGCAAACGTTGTGCAACTAAGACCTCTGTTTTTAACCTTAGTAGTTAGAGAGTGTAATTTTTTTTGCAGGCTGGCTGGTGAGTGTGCTGGGAATGTTTGTTTCTGTACTGTGTAAAACCCTTCCATGTGCACCTTACTTTAAAGATAGTTATGAATTGATGAGTGTGTTTACTATTCGTTTCACTTGTTGAAAAGCTGACTATGACACCTCACATGCACCACAACTGATCTTTCCATCACACAATGTCCCAGTACACTGATTAAATCTTGTACCTATGGAGCAGTGTGCTTGTGTTGTAGTACATTATATTAACCACTAGATGACACTGGCATATGCCTTCAGCAAATGAAGCACACCCTGGCGCCCCATTGACACTTGAGCTGAGCATCTTGGTATGTTTTGTTGTGTTATTTTTAGCATTTGTATAGGCATTTTTGCAAGCGTTTAAGGCTTGAGCATTTTAGTTTCATTTTTAGCTAATGCAAAGCTAGTCATTAGGCAAGTAAAGCTATAAAAACAAGCGTTACACGTATATTAGTGCATTTTGGTGCATTTTTTTAAAGACGCTCCTATTAAAGTCCATTGGGGCAAAACGCTGGAGTCTGCTCTAAAAGAAGCTCATGTACTTTTTTGAGCTACAGGCGTTTTGATACAAGTGACAGAAAGCTCAAGTGTGAACAGGGGGCCTTTTAAAACAATGGCAAATAGCACTCAGGCATTCAAGCATTATGATGACATAAGTGATCACTATTAGTAAGGTCTGAGAAGCATTTCCCCATAAAGTTTGGGTCAGGAGTTTTCAGGAGTCCTGTTGTACACCACTCCTAGGTTCTCTTAATGTCTTCCTATTATAGAGGACCGATACTAACTTATATTAGTATGGTCTGAGAATCCATAAAATTGGGGTCAGGACACAGAGAGAGCACCAGCTGCATCTACCATCGTTTCAAAGTGAGACTGTCCATCACAAGCCCGCCAGTCTGTAATTTATGTAAGTGTGCATGCTTTGGATTTAATTAAAGTGTTTAGACAGTTCTACACTATGTGACATGCCATGTTTTTCTTTTTTCTTTGGGACACATTAGAACCCAGGAGCAAGGTATACCAGGATCCTTGGAAATTCTTTACCTCAATTTTATGCGGAAAAGCTTCTCAGACTTTAGGAATCTAAGGTAGTATTGGTCCAGTATAAGAGGGAGACATTAGGAGAACCCAGGAACAAGGTGTACCATCATCCTTGGAAATTCTTTACCTCAATATTATGGGGAAAGGCTTCTCAGACTTTAGGAATCTAAGGTAGTATTGGTCCAGTATAAGAGGGAGACATTAGGAGAACCCAGGAACAAGGTATACCAGGATCCTTGAAATAACAAATCCAAACGTATCTAGATTACTCGATAACAACATCCGGATGCATCCGAATGAAATTCAGAAAAAAGTGTGGACTTCCCTCCCCAATACATACTAGACCATTTAATAACAACTCTGCTCCCAAATGTCAACAATGGGGCGGAACAAGTTCCCTGATGTCACAACTCTCTCCACCCCTTCATTGATATTCGGAAGGAGACCTGAGAGTTCGTTGGGATCGGTCATGTGGGCGGGCATCGGGTATTTTTTATTTAGGCGAGTTGGCGGCCGTTTTCCATCCTGATTGACGTGGATCTACTTAGCTCGGTGACATGATTGACCAGTGGATTACATTGATGGACACTTTTCTATTTGTTTTATTTCAATAAAGGACTTGTCAAAAACCTGTGGGGTTTTTTTTCCAAATAAAGAACTTTACAAACTGGTCTGGTGTGTTTATTTACTATTGTACTGTTTATTTGTCATTTGTTCATTCACGAGGGGAGGTGGCATCGGGGTGCCTTCTTTATGAAAGGGGACACCCAGTTTCCTATAAGCCCCCTTATCTGCAGACACCCGCAACACTGGCCCACCTTTGTCCTCATGGACATATTGGTCTGGTAAG